CCTTCATTTATAAAAGGTAGGAAAGGACACGTTTTAAGACTTAAATCACAGGTGGTTAATAATTTTAAAGCATCCATATGAGTTAACGTCTTTGAAGTGTAAAATTCAGATAGGACTCACTTTTGATGAAGCCAGAGAGATAAGAAATGTGTTTGCTTGACGGTTACTAATTTTTAAAAATTTAGGTGTACATTACATAGGGATTAAAATGAATATTAGACAACAGTGACTGAACAAGCCCCATGGATTTTTGGAGAGCAGGGTATCAAGCTGGAATATAAAATACTCCCAGAGTCATTCGAAACTGAATATTTTTATATGTTAATTACTCTTTTAAAAATCTGGCTTTAAATTTATCTTTATATTGTCTTTTCTTTGTTCATCATTAAATGGCCATATTTCACAGGACACTGATCATTATGTCCTGGCCCCCATGCCACCAGAGAGCTCTCCTTGACTTTCAGACCCTCCCAGACGAAACCCAACAGCTGGTTGTTGTGCACCATCTAGTGGCTATAGGAATCATTGATGCCTGAATGTTGCTTGCTTCTGCATTTTAGAAATACTGGGACATATATTTTTAAGAAAATAAGAGAACTGTGAACAGCAATACCAGATTCATAAGACTATTTCCTTCTAAAATTGATATTTAAGTCATTTAATAAGCAATACAAATCTTAAAATGAAGTGAGGGAAATACACAGTACATGCTAGTTATGCGTAACAAAGGTTTAAATGAGCATTAATTTAATTATAGTGCATATGTACTTAAATAGACTGTACATTGCTCCGTGTAGGGGAGACACAATTTATACCAGTGAATAGGAACAATGTACCTGCTGACAACCATGGGTACAGGATTGCTGAAATACATAAAATTTTTTCTCCTTTTTACCACACCTTAAATAATTCACCACAGGCAAGTGTTAGTAAAGGTAGTTAAAAGTGTTTGCTCAGATCTTTACATTATTATCTAAACTGCATGGCCATGACAATACACTTAAATTATTTCCAAATTAAAACAAAATTATTTCCAATTTTAAAAAGGCACTCTTTCACACTTCTTCAACTGTATTTAATTTACTTTGCAAATTCTAAAGAGATGATTGATCACATACTAATAAAGCACAAAAGATCAAGTGTTAAAGGTAAAATTAACATGACTTTATCAAAGGAAATTTCTTATTGCTACTTGCTCACCTCCCATAGCGTGTGTACTTCTCATAAGTCATCTGTTATAATCCCAAGCTCTACATTCATTGTTATTGGTCACACAAAAATAACTTACTCAAAATGCCTGAAGCAAAGGTATGGCTGAGAACTTATTAAAAGCAAAGCAAGCCAACCTGAATCCCTCTACAACTAGTTTTGATTTCATTTTGAACAAAAGGTTGAGAAATCTTGCATAGAATTATAAATAGAAACACACAAGGGCTCACTTTGAACCAAGTTTCATTCGTTATTTTTAAAAGGACTATTACTTGATAATTTAGGAGGATATGTCTTGCGGAGTAAATATCTCTCTGTTAAGTGGATGAATGGATGTGGCATGTCTTGGTTTGGAGTAGGAATTTCACAAGGAATTTGCTGATGTAGCTGTGATACTGAGAAAGAAGGACTAGAGGTAGGATAGTTAGGTGGTTTTTTAGCTACTGGTTAACGAATTAGGACCCAGTTAGATGGAAGTCTCTGGGATCACATCTCAGAGCCTTTTTCTTTAACCTGTCTTACTTAATATCTGGCAAAAATGGAAAAGCTGAAGGAGAGAGCTAAAATACTAAATGCAAGGTGGGCGGGGAGAGGTTTCAAAGTCATTTCAACTTCTTAGAAGAATGGGCCCAAGTCAACCAAATGGATGTAGACTCACTATTTCCCAGACTTGAAAGGGCATCCACAGCCCTCAGAATACTGGTTCTGTTCTCTATCTCCCACAAAAGACCAGCCAGCCAGCAGCAAAACATGTCCAGTGAGAGGAAATGCACTGCTCCCAAGGGAGCCGTCCCGGGGGGGACAAGTCAACTATCAACGCAACATTGCGTGTTGAGGTTTAACAAAAAATCCGTACAGGTATAGGGAGGGACAAGATGTAGATCTCAGCAGTCTTTGATTTAGAGGACTTAACAGAGAGAGTCGACTGCTAGAGGACTTAATACTATTTTTACATTTTAAGAGGTGCACATTCACAAGATCTCGCCCTTCAGTTTGCGGTGTGAAAACTTGAAAAGACACAGTGACAAGTGGGACGATATCTAGAAAAAGATGGCTAAGACAACTGAGGGTACCTGATTTGGAGAAATGAAGATGCCAGTGGTTCATGCCAGGGAGGGGCACCGGGGCCAGGGAGTCACAGTGAGAGCTCTGGTTGAACAGGTAGTTGGGGCTGTTCCACTCAACCTGAAGGTACTGGGAGCCAAACAAGGCCCTACCAGGCCACTCCATACTGATGAGATGAGGACTCTGCCCTCCGAAATTTCACCCAGCTTGTCTTGCGGAGGAGTGAGCTCACCCCTGTGGGAACAATACCTGACCAGGAGCCACCATGGCACAAAGGGGATAATGACAGCTGCGGCCACGGGTGTTGTGAAGGATTAAATGAAACAGAAGACGTGTACGTGCGCAGAAAATGGCGTGGCAGGGACTGGTTCCTTGTGAGCGATGACACCCAAGGGATTTCCAAAGTTAGGCAACAAAGTAGACTCTGTGGCGTAGAAGGTTGATGCGGACCCTAGGAGTCTATGATTTCATCTTATTAATAACCTAAGCTAATTAGTGCTGCTTCAACATTCAAAGTTTATATTGCTTTGAGTGGTAACGCATTCATCATGTCTCCCCTACTTTCATTTTTACGTTAACTGACCTGTAAGACACAAACCCCAATGTCCTGGGTTTGCTTTCCTCCCGTCCACTGTGCATCACTTGGATAATGGAACAGAGGTGTCTGTGTACAGATGAGGCTAACATGTACCTCAGAAAGTTCAAGGAATAACTCAAAACATACGATGATTTACGGAAGAAAGCTTCCTCTTCCTTTTTTTTTTTTTTAAACAGAAATGCTCCCGTGAAAAGTGAGTCATGTGACCTGATCATACTTAAACGACTGTGATCGCTGTTCATTACCTACTGATGGGATGGAGCATGCTTCTTTGACCCTCATGTTTTTATACTCATTCTTGGCCTAAATGGTAAAGAAATTGATTAAAAAATAGTGCCAGAGAGATAGATGAAAACCTCTCCTGGGGAGGCTTGGATCAATGGAAAAGGCAAAAATCTGGAATTAAGCCGAAAAAGGAAAAGGACTGGGAGCAGGGATGAGAGATGAAGAGGCAGTTTGCACAATGCCTTGAACTGGGAGAGGTATTCAAAGTGTATGTTCTACGTTAGAAGAGCAAAAGTAAACTCCAGATCCTGCAACGTGTTTTTGAGTTCAGACAAGCCTCCTACACCAGCAGTGCATCACACACACACAAATGATGCCTGTCTCGACGTGCGGAGTCACGGAGCAGTCTCTGTCCAGCAGCTTTAGAAACTGTCCAATGACATGACGAAGTAAACGGCAATGACATGATGAAGAACACTGGCTTACATGAGTTTGCTACCTCGGCCAGGAAATGGTGTTCTTAGTGTGATTATTTTAGTATATTTAGAGATGTAATACTATTCACAGATCTCAGCGGGAGTCTGTTCCACGTGAAGTTTCCAGGTAGAGGCAGATGCCGGCGTCTGGTGCCCATCAAGGACAGTCCCTGGACTCAGCCTGCTTGACCCGCGGCCCATTGGTACCAGAAATTACCAGGAGTGTGTAGGAATGACTTGCCCTCTCCTATCTGCTCCCTTGAGCTTTACACATTCCAGTCCCCACTTCTCCTAGAAAAGGTAGTGTAATTGTGGGGCTCTCTCTTTACCTTCAGTCTCTTCCCAGAGCCTCCCACTGGGGGCTCCCAACAGGACCCAGGAGCCAAGGAGGCTGGGGATGTTGGCTAAGGAACACATAAGGCACAGGACAGAAGGGGTGGGTAGGGGGCTAAGGAAAGAGTCACTAGGTTATTTCCTGGGTGGGTGGGTGGATGGATGAGTACACGGACGGGTATGTGGATGGATGGAGAGGTGGACGGATGTGGGGGGTGTGGATGGGGACAAGAGTCAGTAAATTGTGTGTAATCTCAATTTCTTTCTCTCTAAACTGAATATTAGAAGTCCTCCCTCTATATATAAAATACCAGTGAAAATCAAATGGAATCACATGAAAATATTTCTTACATTCCTTACAGTAATTGATACACACACACACACACATATATACATATATGTCAATTTTATATATATATTTTTTGGTTCATTTGTTTGGTTATTTGGGGGTTAGAGACCAAGGGGAGAAAAACATGATCTAAGTGGTGCTTAAAATGCTACCTTTAGGGATGCCTGGGTGGCTCAGTCATTAAGCAGCTGCCTTCGGCTCAGGTCAGGATCCCAGGGTCGAGGGATCGAGCCCCACATCAGGCTCCCCGCTCTGTGGGAAGCCTGCTTCTCCCTCTCATTCCCCTGCTTGTGTTGCCTCTCTTGCTGTGTCCCTCTCTGTCAAATAAATAAAATCTTAAAAAAAAAAAATGTTACCTTTAAGAGGATAGGACAATTTTGCTCAGCGTTTTTCAGTGTGCTTTGCGGACCTTTTAGAATCTGAGAAACTAGACAATGGTTAAGTGGCAACATTGATTATAAAAAAGGCTCCATCACTGTGTCCTACCACCGTAAAGGTCCTTAAGACATAGACGATGAACTTCACCCTTGCTAAGGTCACTAAGACTTAAGCCTTTTTCAACTGAGACAGGGGAACGCACTCCCCTCAGACAGGAAGTCAACTTTAGACCGCAGTATAAGGAGCGAGTATAAACCACATTCCTGGGCACTCAGGACCCCGAAGTCGAACAGTGGTCCCTTTGGGACTTTCCCTGATCTCCCATCTCCCCCGCCCCTGCCCAGAGAGGAGCCTTGGGACAGCGTACCTGTATGTGTCCTTCGGTGAGCCTTCAGGTGAGAACTTTTTGTGTATACTTTGTTGCAACCCTCAAAATCACATCTGTGGATACGCCGTTTCCTGGAGTCTGGGGATTCAGACCGTCTCTGGCGTCTTGTGCTCTCAATACTAAATGGTGAGATTGAACTGGAGAAAGAAACAGTGCGGTTAAACGGTGACCAGCACAGCTCTCCGTCTTCGTGCTAGTGACAGGAGACCCCAGCCTTAGCCTGTTGTCGCTTGCTACAGCCTCGAGGCTCTACGGCCACATTTCCCACCATCACTTTCTTGAACATGGTGTATTTCTTTATCTCGAAGGCAGGCAGCTTGGCCTACTTCTGAGAAAACACTCCTCCACAGACAAAGATATGCTTAAAACAACAAGATAGAAACAAAAACTCCATAAAATCAGTGGTAAGTGAGTAGATCTTCCTTATCGAAAGAAACAATCTGGAATCCTACTGAAGGACACAGAGAGTATTTTTGGAAGCTCAACTACAGACTGACAAAATGAGGGCATTCCGCAAGCAACACGGGGGGGGGTCTGAACTGCACGTGACAGCATAGAAAATCGAGTAAAATCACCAGGTACATTTCAAAACAAGTGAGGTCAGGCTGAAAGAAATGACATCAGTACATCAATAACATGAGTCATGACAAGCTATTTCTGTTCAGTGAAATGCACCTGACATTTAACTTTTCCAGTTGGTGGTTTTTCATGGTGAGGAATCAAGCACATTGTATTTAAAGATTAGCTGTACCACCACTATGAGAAAAAGTTTCAACTATGAAATTTGGCCCCGACTTGCACAGTGTTTAATCTTAATGCCACAGTAGAAAAACAGGATTAGTTTGTAACGTCAGGTAATTGATTAACATGTACCTCTTCAAACTTTAATCTCTTTTGATTGAGGTAGAAACGAAGTATATGACTAATCGTTTTCAGTTACCCATGAAGTTCTTTACTATGATCACAAAATATAACACAAACGCAATCATCCCTATTTCTAACGTAAAAAATTCACCACTGCTCATATTGGACATATTTTCTTCCAGCTTTTTCATGTTTTGATGTTTTTCAAAATTAAAGTTTATTAGTAAATTACCTCTTACAAAAACCTGAAGGACTGAGCAAGAATTCTTTGAAGAAAGTGATGTTTACGCTTCACTTAAGCCGATTATAGGTAAAGGAAAAACCCCACCCTCGATCCCTTCCTCCTCCTCCTATGGAAAACCTGTCATACATTTTCTTTAAATTCTTTCAATTCGTTCCAATTATCCTTACCTATACAAACCCACAGTAATAGAAGCTCCTAACAATGTTTTGTTCTTTAAAAGACATGTAGAGGGGCACCTGTGTGGCTAAGTGGGTTGGGCCTCTGCCTTTGGCTCAGGCCATGATCTCAGGGTCCTGGGATTGAGCCCTGCTCAGTGGGGAGCCTGCTTCCCCCTCTCTCTCTGCCTGCCTTTCTGCCTACTTGTGATCTCTCTCTCTCTGTCAAATAAATAAATAATCTTAAAAAAAAGAGAGACATATAGATACCATTATATAGTTCACATCACTTTGCGAATTTCTCTACACTTGCCTTTTGCTCACTCACCATTAAGCACGTAAGACTATCCCGGTTTATGCCAACACTGTCATTTATTTACTTCGAGTGCTATATCCACAACTCATCTATTCTAAGATGATTTTTTTCATATTTTGATGTCTCTAATATCAGATGCTTCTTATACAACTGATGGCTTGTCATAGTTTAACTGGCATAAAATTATTTTTTTGTATTAGTAGTACATACAGCAGTGGTGCATTTTACAATATGTGGTACTTTTAACTTAGATCAGAGGTTGGTAAACTTCTTCTGTAAATGGCTAAATAGCAAATAGTTGGTTTTGACTTTGACAGTCACGCAGTCTATGTCATAAATCAACTCTGCCCTTGTAGCATGAAAGTAGCTATAGACAATATGTAAACCAGGAGTATGGCTAATGTTCTAATTAAACTATTCATAAAACAGGGGTTGTATTTGGGGCCAGTGGTTGATGCATGACTTAGATGAAACATGGGAACAGTCCAGTGAATATTCAACTGAGAGTTTTAAAGTCTATTTCTTAAGCGATGGACATTTAGGTTATTTCTGAAACCTCACTGTAACATTGCTCCAGTGAACTTTTCTTCCCCCTCAATGTTTCCTTCTACATATGCACCTTTGAAGTTTTCAATGTATCTTCTCACTTGTACGAATAACAGATTCAGTTGCCAAAGCTTTCTATTATTAGCTAAGACAAAATATAAGTGGTGTATTTCTACTTTTTCCTTGAAGAGTTTAAGACAAGATCTTTATTAATAGAATGACAGAAAATACGGGATGGGTAAGCCACTTTTTCGAGCCTTCCTACGAATCAATGTGGATTTGTCGTTTTCCACATAACTGACTCAGTTGTGGCAACTGGAGCCTATTGTGAAAAAGTCAAAATAGTGTGATTGGCCTGCCCCACAAAGGAACAGCTTTGGTCGCTCCTGCCAAGGTATGCTCGGCCTAGGCTGGGTTTCTGGTGAACAAAACTGTACGTGTGAAGATAGGACAACAGCAGTTCATTTCTTGAATATCTAGTCATGAAAATAAATACGGATCTTGGTCCTTGGGGGCCTCAAAAATAGAGATTTCTGTGTCGTGATATGTTTGACATCTTTTAAATCAAGAGAAAATGATATGGTATCTATTTCCTTCAAATTATAACTTAAAGTCTATAATCAGAATGGTGTATGTTGTACAGTACTTTCTACAGACTAATAAGTATAAATATAGCTATGCGTAATCACATAATACGTTGTTTTGTCTGCAGTTTATTTTAGCTGTTTACTTTGCTATGTATTTGTATATAGAGAGAAAGTAAAAAATAAATCTGAACTTAAAACCAAGTAAGTACTAAGCAGGTCTTTAAGGCACCAAGGAAGTGAGACTGCTCTATGGTCCATCCATCATGAAGCCATTCAACAGGTGGTTAAGGAAGATTAAGGCCACAGAACAGCATGATAGTACTTCACCGAGACTCCTGAATTTACACCGAAAGAAAGACATGTTAGGGGATGGCCTTAATGCTATAAAACTTCACACGTTGACTTTCTTCATTTTAAAGTAAAATATTTTAGGATATTATGAAGAACCATCCCCTCAAGGTATCTAATGCAATAAAAATTTAAAAAAAAATTAAACAGGTAAGTACCACGAACAGCCACACCCAGCAGAGCTAGCTTGGGTCAAGTTCTTCCCTGCCTCCCCTTTTAAAACGGCAGAAGCATCCTCAGAAGATGCTGAAGAACCTTCGGCCAGGCTGTGCCTTTCAGAAGCACTTATTTGATCTTTGCAGAAATGTAAGAAGAGGTGGGCTGAGGTAGACAGAGAACAAAATGGCGGAAGAACTTAAAAAACACAGGAAGATGGGTGGACACTCCAACTCCGTGCAGGACTGCCGCTATGTTGGGGGTCCACGCAAGAACCAACAGAGGGCAGGCACTGGAGGGGGAAGACAATCAATTGAAGGTGGGGGTTTGGTCAACCCAAGTTCATGGCAGTCAAGGTACTGGGGCCAAGTATCTCTAGAACCTAGAACACTGTGGGCATTCCAGCAATGTTTGCTAAATGGAATGAATGAATAAACGGATGAGTGTAGTAAATCAAGTATTCCTAATTTTTAATTTAATATAATCAATCAAGCAATTAATCACGCATTGGTTAATTAATCCTTACTAGGATTCTTTTATTGCAAGTCTTCAGATAATGGTCACTCAATTCTTCACTCTTACTCTCATTTCCCTAAACTTCATACTTTAAACACTAAATAAAAAGTGGCTACTGAATATCAGAGAGTCTGGGTAACCATTAAAACCACATGCACATAAGTGTCTCAGTTCTTTGCCCTAAATTCCAGAGGACGGCATTCTAAAGCATTCCTTACAATTATAATTCTCAGGGGAAGGCCACTGAGATCCCTCTGAATGTGTAGAGGATGCCAGTGAATGAATAAAAGTCTTCCCTTTGATCCCAGCAAGCATGTGTTGAGCAGGAGAGGGTGAACAACAATCCTACTCTTGGTGATCTCCTCCTGACCCATCCCACTCCAAGGCCCACACACGTGGGCATTCAGTAACAGAACAGCTATCATTGCTCTCCGGGTGTGTCTATCCTGCCCTTTCTATGTTCTCTGAGCAACGTGCCCTTCGCTCAGATGGCCCTTCAGGTATCCCCAAATACACGCAAACCGGTTCTGTGCTTCCAAAGCCGGTCTTGTTCCAAAGGTGGAAACGCCGCGTGTACCAACATAGGATTCTTCCAATAATCCTTCACAGTAAGCTGACATGATGAAAATGGTAGGGCTACTTCCGCCGCCAGTGTGAAGGCATCTGCACAGTTCACAAGAACAATAACTATAGGCCCACTCCCTTCCCCAGAAGGTTAGACCATTTGGAGTACTGAATGAACGCCAGAGGGGGCCTCCCAGGCACTGCGTTGTAATAATGAGATCTAGAGAGAACAAATGAGTGAATCATGACTTCAGTTGCACAACAGTCCCGCTTGGAATGGCAAGTTAAATTAGAATTAAACCCAGAGAGGCTCGAGAAGTCACATCCAGGAACAGCTCTATTTAAATAGAAGGCACCGCACGGCTGCCATGAAAGAAATTAAGGTTAACTGTAATCAGCAGGTAATAAAAGACCATTTGTCACATGTGACCTTAGTGTGATGAGATGCCCTTCAATGAAATTGAAGTTTCTATAGGTGCTAAAAAAAAATAAAATAAAAAAAGCCAGGACATTCTTCTAAGGCTGAAAAGAGAAAGAGGACATGCACATCCCAAATTTTCAAACAAGAGCAGAAAACAGTGGAATAGTGGGTGGTTTCGCAAGTTCACAGGTTCAACCTCACCTGGGAGGAGCAGGCTGCAGATAACGTGACAGCTGACAGTTACGGAACGCCGAGCACACATGCTTTAAATGCTCAGCTCGGCTCTAAATGCTTTCAACTTCAAAGCAAATCTGCGAGGTCGGTGTGATTGGTGTCCCTCGCTTAAAGATGGGGAAACCAAGGCAGAGAAGTGAAGTGGGAGGGTAAGACAAAGTAGGCAGCCACACTACACCAGGATTC